CAGAGCCAATTCCCCAGCCATCAGACTGTGATGTAGCCAAGGCCACAGTTGGCCAGTTTTTCTATGAGATGATCACGGGATACCAGATCAAAGGCTTTTTTAAAAACAACATATATGATGTCAATCTCTTCTCCCTTGTCCAGGTGATGTCACCTGGTTGTAGGAGGAGATGAGATTGGTCAGGCAAGACCTACCCACAACACACCCGTGCCAGCTGTCCTTCAGCCAGTTTGTCAAGAATGGTCTCTTTGATAATTTTTTCCAAGATCTTCCCCGGGATAGAGGTCAGGCTGATGGGCCTGTAGTTCCCCGGATCTGCTTTCCTTCCTGTGGCAGGGCATTGTGGGTGCCTGCCACTTTAAGAGCTCAGTCAAGCAGCCAGCAGGTGTTTGATTGCAGTGGCCATTTTAGATCTCTGGCCGCCTATATAAACAGAACAATTTGCTGCTGGCAGGCCACAAGGCTGCATGCAACATTTTGGAGGTAAGGGCAGGAGCTGTAGGGGATGGCTAGGAGGCTCCTGGTCCTGGGCACGACCTAAAACTGCACCCTGCCAGGAGTGGGTGGCCTGGTGGGGCTCTCAGTGGCGTGGGAGCCCCCAGGAAATGCCAGGCCAGTTACCACCCCCGTGAAAGGTGGGTCAGGGCGCCTTAATAACCCTAGTTCCCACAACCGGGTGGGTTACCCCTAATAGGGACAAGAGGGCAGACCCAAGACAGAGTGGGCTGGAGGCACAGAGGCCTGACTTAGAGTACCCTCAACTGGACAATGCTGGGGCCAGGACCAGGACAGTCAAAAGGGCCAGGGGTGCACCGCGAGGGACACCCGAAGCTGAAGGCCTGGGATTCCAACTGGCCTTGGAGGCGAGGCCAGGGCCTATGTGGCCAAAAGTCCCAGAGGGACCACACATGAGAGGGAAAATAGTTTCAGGGAGCGAGGCAGCCCTGAATGAGGGCAGGGTAGGCTGACTGAATGGAGAGATCTTAGAGGGGTCCTGATTTGAGGATTCTGGGGCCCAGTGTGGGGCTGGTGAGATTAACATCCATGGATGCCATCTGTGAGGCTTGGGCTGTAGTGTAGGGGAGGAACAGAGTTGCAGATAGCACCCCCTGGCATTGGGGCAAGAAATGGGCAGCCTCTCACCTAATTAACAACTTAATTAGATTATCATCAAGGCATGGCAGGCGAGAAGGTGGGTAGTTGGCCCAGAAACAGGTGGGCGGGGCATTGGTAGACTGGCCCCGAGAAGCCCCCCTGTTACACTCCCTTTCTTGAAGATAGGCACCACATTGGCCTTCTTCCAATCTTTGGGAACTTCACCTGAGCGCCATAAGTTCTCAAAAATCCATGCCAGTGGCTGAGCTATGGTGCCTGCAAGCTCCTTAAGTACCCTGGGGTGTAAACTGTCTGGGCCAGATGACTTGAAGGTGTCCAGCCTCTCAAGGTGTTCCTTCACATGGTCTACATTGATGAAGGGTAACAATTCTCCCTCACCCTGGCCATCCCATACTGTATTGAGCAGGGCCATCCTTTGGGGCTGGTGAAAAACCAATGCGAAAAACCCATTAAGCAGGTTGGCTTTTTCCTGGGCGTCAGTTGTCAATTGTCCCATATGGTTTACCAGGGATGCAACGTTACCCTTGCTTTTCCTCCAGCTCCCCACATATCTAAAAAAGGACTTTTTATTGTCCTTGATACGTGGAGCCAGCTGGAGTTCAGTTGCAGCCTTGGCTTTCCCGGTTCGCTCCCACCAGGTCCAGACCAGTGCAGAAAACTCCTTTGAGGTGGATCCAGTCTTCCATTTTTGAGAGGCCTTTCTTTTTAAAAACACAGGAGGGTCCACTAGTTCCCTGCAGAGCCAAGGGGGCTGCTGTGCCCTTTTGCTGCCTTTCCTCCAAGACGGAATAAACATTGTTTGTGCTTCCAGGATCGCTCCTTTGAGGAGCAACCACTCAACCTGAATTCCCCTCCCCATCAGGTCAAGGCTCCTGAGCTTATCAAAGTCAGCTTTTCTGAAGTCAAGGACTTCTGCATTGCTGACTGACTTGCCAGCTTTACAACGGATGGTGAAGGTGATCAGCTCATGGTCACTGTCTCCTAACTTCCCTTTGACCTTTAGGTCGCTGATTAAGTCATCCCCCATTGTCAATACCAGGTCGAGCACCGCTTTGCCTCTTGTTGGTCCATAGACTTCTTGAGTCAAATGGAGCTCATCCACACACGAGGAAGCTTTGCGTCTGTTCACATTTGGCCAAGTACTCTTCCCACGAGATGTCTGGGTAGTTGAAGTCTCCCATGACAACCATGCACCGGGAGTGTGCAGCCTCAGCCAGTTCTCTGGCAAATTCCTGGTCAAGCTGTTGATCCTGGCTAGGAGGTCTGTAGTAGACTCCCACTATTGTGTCCCCTGTGCCACATTCACCATGGATTTTAACCCAGAGGGTCTCCAGCAGTCCACCCTGGGTGCCAATATCAGTTTCCAGGGACGTGTAGCTTTCCTTGACACAGAAAGCTACACCCCCACCCCTTTTGTCCACATGATCTCTCCTGTACAAGGTATAGCCGTCTATACCTGTGGCCTAGTCATAGGTGAAGCCCCACCAGGTCTCTGTTATCCCTATGAGATCATAGTCATTCTTGTTTAGCAGGAGGACCAGTTCCTCCTGTTTATTCCCCAAGCTCCTGGCATTGGAGTGCAGTAATGCAAGTGTCCCATTGGGGGCCCTTGCCTTCCCTACACATCGTTCTGGGGCTGGGGTAGAGGTGGGTTCCCTTAAGTGCCTTAACCTGCTGGATTTGCAAGTTGCCCAGTGGGCTTGCTGTGGCAGTAGTCCCCCCATCCCCTGGCGGGCTTAGTTTAAAGCCTGGTCAAGCAGGTCAGCCAGTCTGACTGAGAAGAGCCTCCTCCCCAGCGCAGTGAGGTGGAGACAATCTCTTCCCAGCAGACCACTGCCTCTATCAAACCAAAGAGCAGACTACGATTGTGGAAGCTGAAGCCTTCACGATGACACCAGCGCCACAGTCTTTGGTTAACTACCTCAAACCTCCTCTTCCTCCTCAGCCCACAGCCCAAAACCGGGAGGATCAAGGAAAACACCCAACCCCTTAAGCCCCACTCCCAAAGCCCTGTAGCACTTCATGACCCGGTTGGGATTGCTCAGAGCCATGTCATTCATGCCCACATGGATAAGAAGCATAGGGTAGTGGTTGGTGAGCCGGATGAGTTTTGGGATCCTCTCAGCTACATCCCGGATACAGGCTCCCAGAAAGTGCAGACCTCCCGAACTAAGGGATTGGGGCAGCAGATTGCGCCCTCAGTCCCCCTCAGGAGGGAGTCTCCCACAACAACCACTCTACAAGTGGCTTTAGGGAGAGCAGGGATGGTAGCTGTGAGTAAGCCTGCAATGTCTGCGGCAGCTGGCAGCTCTGCAGGGTCTACTGGGGCTGCAAGAGGTTCATATCTGTTGCAAAGCTCCAGAGGGGAGGGGACCTTGGTACAGCGGGCCTTGGGGCTATTGACCACCTTGGTCCAACCCCCTGGCTGGACAGTATGGGAGATCCCCAAGTCCTCCCTTATCCTGGAAGGTGACCTTGGTCTACCCTCAGACTCCAGGGGGTGAAGGGCCTGGCAGTAGGAGTCTATCTCCCGCTTGTCATCCCTGATGGCATGTAATCTCTGGACTGCGGCCTTGAGCTCCTCTATCTGGTGCCCTAGAGACTCCAAAGTAGAGCAAATCTCACAAGGGGAGGTGGCCATGCTCCCGGTCGCATGTGCCTGGAAACGTGCCAGGCAGCCCCTGCAGCCAAGAGCCAGAGGCTCCATCTGCATGGAGCCTGGAACCATGGGTTTCATCTGGGTAGACACCTCTGAGGTGCCAGAGGTGGAAGCCTCAGACTGAGGGGACCCTCGGGGTGCAGCATGTGCCCATCCGCATTGTGCCACCGGTAGTCTGGCTACTGATGGGACTACCTTCCCTAGGGCTCACTGGCAGGGCTTTGGGCCCTCCCACTTACCCTCCTGGATGGCCTACTTTCCCCTGTGGAAACACCTGCAACTTCGCAGATGGATCTGGGACTCAAGGATTGGACTCTTAAGTAACCTCAAGGCCCATCAATGAGCCATGGTAGGGATCATGCTTGAGCTGAGGGATTGCTGATGACCAGCTTTATACCCCACACAGGAATTACTCAACCACCAGTGAAATGCAGTCACCTCTGGAATGAAATATTCCTGCTGTCTGACTGAGTACAGAAACATTACATACCGATTTAGAAAAGAAAACAAAGGAAAACAATACCCAATAGCAACTACAGAGAGGGACAGGGCAGGAGCTTAAGGAAAGCAGAATATAAGCTCCATAGCTGGAATGTGGGTCAGCAAACTGAGGTTGACATTATGATTTTTTCAAATTAATTAATAACCAGAGTCAGTTATAATCTCTGTTTTACTTCTCACCACATAGGGACTCTAGGATCTTGTTAGGGATGGAAGTGAAACTCCCAGTAATGTTGGGATTTTAGATCTAAAGTGACACTTTCCTAAAGCACACAGCTAAAATCCTGACAAAACACAAAGGAAAGAGAGAGGTGGCTACAAAATGTCCAGAGCTGAGACTGTTTCCACAATAAAAGGAACTACAATCATGGAAAAAACTAAGAGTCCATTTAGCATCTGAGCATTCTGATCAGTCCTGCTTCCTACAGCAGACCACCCCAAGTACTGGAGATGTGAACTCCCTTTGCTCAATCCGTGCACCTCAACATCCTGCAGGATACACGAGCTGAAGATAACCTTCCTGACCCCTCCTTCCATCTGTTGTCTTTCTGTTTTAGAGGCATCGCTGCAGATGTTCTATTTATGTGTATGGGTGTGTGTGACATCATTTTTGGCTTTTCATGAACTAGCAACCTTAGTGCCACAATGTCTATTATCATCACCATTCCCATCTCTCTACAACACCCTCAGTGCCCAACTTGAGAGATGGGTAGGAAGATGTTACCTCATTAACATCAATGCCATTCCTCTCCATGTAGGCCCTATCATTCACCTGCCCACCTTCCATGAATTCCATGAAGAGGACACGCCTTGTCGACAACTCCCAGAAGATCCTGGGGACCTGTCATAGGACAAAAAGGAATGTTAGGCCAAACCAATGGATGATGGCAGAGAGTGGGGGTGGCATGCACCATGCAAGACAGGAGTGTCAAACTTAACCTGGTGCCATAGGCCAAATGAGTGCCACAGGACCAGTCCATGGGTCAGATGGACAGTGTATAGCTGGCCCTGTGGGCTGGATCTAGCACATGCAGTGCTCACTCTGGCCAGTCTGGGACTGCACTGAACACACACCCATGTGAGGCCAGTCTGGGACTTACATAGTGCCCATTCCAATGAGCCCAGGACTTAAAATGCACACGAAGCTTGCCCTGGATTGGCCAGGGGATATCACATGCAGTACAGGTCCTGAACCAGCTGGGGCAGGCACCGTATACTTCGTGTGTCCCATACCAGGTGTGGTGGGCAACGCATATAGTGTGTGCCCTGAGTCAGCTGGAATTAGTGCCACGTGTGGTACATGTCCAGAACCCTGCACATGGGGCTGGTCTGGCACATGCCATGTGTGGCAAGTGGGTCAACTCCTGGGGCAGCACTTCAGGCTGGATGATAGGGCTTCATGGGCCATAGCCAGCTCACAGATTATATCTTCGACACCCTTGATGCAGAAAAAGAGACAAAGGAATTTCCCAGCAGAGGTAAAAAGGAGCCTGTATTTTCTTCCTGCTCAAAACAAGGGAGGCCACCAAATCCACCCACATGGCTGCCTTTCCTTAGCTGCTTTAGCTACCTTTATCACTGGTGAAAAGTACTGAAGGCAGCCATTCCCTACATGGAACAGTGACAACCTGGGCAGAAGCCATGCATAGAGATACAGTACCAGGCACCTTAGGACATACAGAATGCTCTTAGCAGCATCTGCTCAAGTCCACATTTAACACCCAAAGCTACAAGGTGCCAACATCCACTGATGTTAATGGGCATTGTTAAATTCTCAGACCCTCTCAAAAGCTGGTCACATTACCTACTGCACTTCACTAAGTCACCTGGTCAGTTAACTCAAGCAGGAACCAAGCCTCTTTTTGGTTGGCCATAACGCAGACTTGCACAGCTCCGCATATGATAAATAATCACATCATAATTTGTATCTCAGCAGCGCTGTCTGGAACACAAATGTATCCAGGCTGACAAGCCGCTCACACGGCCATCAGCAACTGAACAGGGAGTAAAATCAAGCATCACAAATAAGGGGTTTGTCACAGAAACCCTGGGAGACCCTTAAGTATCTTGTTACAAATGTGACACTCCTACAAGTGTAAAATACCAACGCGCTTTCTGTTCATTCTGCAGCAAATCAGTTTGAGTGATTTACAAGGAAGCTGAATAACTGGCCCCAGTTTTATATGGTGAGTCAGTGACTCAGCAAATAAGGAGTCTTAAACTAGTGTATCCTTCCTTTCAAAAAACTACCAGCTAGTGCTTCTCCCAAATTATTTGCAGGCTGAAACTCCCACAGGTACTAGATCTGCTAGTGATCCTTTTAGGAAGAAGTTCACATTACAGAACCCCTTGGTAGCAAAGATAAGCAGTAGCCTCCTTAGCTGTCCCAAGGTGTTTGCTGTATCATATGCGGTGGACTCACCAACTCCCCTATTGCAAAGCAAGGGCCCTGAATTCAGAGCCTGGGAGAGGAAAGAATTCCTAGGTCACTCATATGACTGTGGTCAAGGGAACTAGCCCTGCCACTGTGGCTCAGCACAGTTCCTAAGAAGGCTGCACTTGTTTCGTAACTTCAGTTCCTGAGGGGCAACATGCAGTAGAAGTACTTCAGCCCTCACGAGGAACCCACTGCAAATGCAGTTCTCACCTCCCTCACAGCAACAGATACCTCTCTATTATGACCCACAGCTTCCTGTTATTCTAACCCTAGGCCCAACATTCTTATGAAGTCCCTTGATCTGGTCCTATAATGTGCCTGCTATCCTAGGACAGGACCTCTGCCCAGTGCAATTCTAATGCCCCTGCATCCTACTGTACAACCACTCCCTATATGTTTCATGCTACCTGTATAGTCCACTAGGAAAGGCAAGTGCAGTTACTCTCAATCCACTCCCCATCCCTGAGTCCATCTGGATTTTTATTATTTTGAAACTTGACAGGAGATTAAAAGACCCAGAGCCCCTCCACACAGACTCCAAAACTAACAGACCCCACAACGTTCTCCCCAGCCTCTGCCCATCAGCTCCTAAACCCACTGATCCCAGTAGCCTTAGATCACTTCAACCTGGCCCTGACATTCATCCCCATCTCAGGATTTACAGGGGCAGGTTTTAGGGCTTATTAAGCCCTGTACAAGCACTCAGAGACAACTCCCTAGCCAAGAGTCAAATTCTTTGGCGAATTTTTAATTACTCACAGATGTTTGGCTGTAATGTCAGTGCATGGAAACAATTTATCTCTGGTTTTAAAAGCTCAACTGGGTTCACAGCACAAAATCCACTTCCCAGCTTTGCTGCATGTTTAGGAAAATTAATGATATAGAAGCCCAATTCTTCTGTTGCCTTTGGGGTGATGAACACGTCTCAGAATTGGCAGGTCAGACAGGAGGATCCATTATTTAGCCATCTCAAAGCCATTTGTTATTGTTACACATATCGATATCATGACAGCTCTTTAACCCAGCAAGGACGTGATTGGCTGTCTCCATGGGGATTTACTTCACAGTATCCTGGTTACAGCAGCAACGGACACAGCTCTCCAAGGTGCATCTCTTTTGATAAGCAACCACTCAGCAGATTCATCAGCCTTTGGCCTCCTGCTGTCCTGATAGTCAGGTGGGTCATAACTGTTTGTATTTACGGAAGGGCTGGCCCATGGTGCCATTGAGTTCCAAAGGACTATTCCATGACCAAAGCTGAAAGATAAGTGACCATAACACTGGCCAGGAGGAGGCAGAAAGGAGACAAGATTTATGAAATCTGATGAAAAATCATATGGCCTCAGATATCCATTATTTTCACCTTAGGATTTTTGTACAAATAGGGGGTGAAAGCATCATGCCAATGTGTGCATCCTTATGCATGTCTGTAACCAAGTGCAAGTGCATTTGTCTGTAGCACTGGTGTGTACGTAAATGTATTTGCGTGTCAGTGATTGCATGCAACTTAGTGTGTTTGTGATGGGAGGGGTATGCACATCTGTGTGCATGGCTTAGTGGGTCCACAGGAAACTAGTTCATATCCAGAAGTATTTCACTGAAAGAGCCCCATGCATGTGTCTAGAGTACCTATATAGTGATGTGTTGGAGAGAACTAGGGTGTATATGGATAAGCACGTCAGTGTTGGGGGAGAAGTATGTGTATGTTTGTCCATCTTTATATAAGGTGACCTGGCTGGGTGCACAGGGAAGCTGTGCATTTGCCGTTGGATGCTCACACATACAAGTTTTACATGTCTATGTATCAGGTGAAGAGGGTATTTGTATGCAGAGGTTTCAGAGAAAATGCCCTTCCTCCTACCATGATATGTATGAGCTCCCTCACTGAATATGGCTGACTTCATTAGCTTCAGTCCAGCTCTTCTGCTTTATCGCCATTTCCTCCTCTTGCTTCTGAGGAAACCCAGAAAAGAAGCCACCTGGCCACTCAGCAGCTAATGGCTAATGCACACACCTCATGGCAATGCAAGGACCTGATGGAATCCCTCTCTCTGACTCGGCTAACTGTGTAACAGCTGAGTTGGAGAAATAACAAACAACAGGATAGCAAGCCAAGTATCCTCACACTACTAGTTCTGATCTAGCAGAGGGTGACCCTGCCAGAAAGCTGTTATTTTCTGCCAGCTGGCGAGTGGCTTACAGTATAGAAAGGAGTCAGGGTGGACAGGGAGGTGGGTTTCAGCTCAGTCCCTGAACAGTCTCAGCAGAGGCCTAGGACTAGATAGCACATGGAGACTAAACTTCTTTTTCACTCCACCTCTTTTCTCCAGGTCACAGATGAGGCAAATGCATAGACCTAGACTAGTGGTGCTCAACCTTTTGGCCAGCAGGCCAAACAGGCTGTGCCTAGTACCTCTGTGGGCCAGATCCAGCCAGTAGACCCAATCCAGTGCTCAGGGCAGGTACAGCAAAGCCCCATCCAGCTGCCCAGAGTGCGGCAGGGCAGCCCAAACTTGACCCAGCCGTGTGGGAAAAGGGGGCTTGCACTGGCCCCAACACAGCAGTGAACCAGCTCCACAGGGGGAGAAGGCATAGCCCAACCCCACAGGAGGGCAGGAGGAAAAGTGCCAGCCCTATGCAGGTAGAAGGGGGTGTGCCCCACAGGAGGAAAAGGGCATGGACTGGCCCTAACCTGGCCGAGCAGAGGAGAGGGGGTGTGGCCTGGCCCCAACCTGACCATGCTGGGAGAGTGTCATGGTCTGGCTCCAACCCACCATGCGGGGCTTGAGATTTTGGCAGCAGGAAGTTATGGCAGTATTAACTAACACTCCCCCCCACCACCACATTTCCTGACCACTGGGGGGCCCCACAGGCCATATTTGGTCTACAGGCTGGAGGTTGAGCATGCTGGCTTAGACTGTCCCTGATCTCAGGGGAAAAAAAAGAGCGTTTTTGCTTCCAGGGCTACTGATTCAGTACCACCATTGGTATTATATTCACTTTACCACATGAGATATTTTTCTGCAGATCATCATCCTCCCCCATGAAGCTGCTGTGCCATTGCTCGTTCCTACCCATACATGCATACACACACACACGGTCACATGTGGACATGCCTGCAGCTTCCTACCTTCAGGAAGTCAAAATGTTTGAGCATGTGAGCCACCTGTTCAGCATTCCTGCCCTCGTTGAGGAAGTCTAGCTCTAGAGGCAAATTCTTCTTAGCTTCTTCCACCAGCCACATGAACTCAAAGTCTGGGAAGATCTGCTTCACAATCAGGAGAAGAACCTAAAGTCAAGGAAAGAGTTGATCAGCTGCATCATAGCTCCTGAACCACTCTTCAGGTGTGGCTATAATGCTATACAGCAATCTCCAGTCCTCACACGCTGACCCAGCCCATGTCCTCTCCAATTAACAGCCCCTTCCCTCCTACCTGAGGCTGAGTACAAGAACAGAAAAGCCATGCTGGCCAGGCCCAGCAGACCCAGTATCTTGGTTCTGACCATACTATAGCAGATGCTTTAGAGGAAGAGTATAAGAAACACATGTAGAGTAATCTATCCTATTATATTCTTCTAGTCACAAGCAGTCATGGGCTTAGGGATGTCCTGAGGTTGAGGTACCATGCCTGACAGTAATATTCAATAGCACCTGGTAGAACTATGATCAGTAAATCCATCTATTCCATTTTGGAGCCCAGTTATGCTACTGGTCTCTATGATATCTTATGGCAATGAGTTCCGCGGGTTATTTATTGTATAAAAAGTACTTCCCTTTTTTAATTTTTAATTTACCACCTGTATTATGAGAGAGTAAATAACAGCTTCCCCCTTCATTTCTTCCATATCACTCACGATTTCATAGACCTCTATCTCACATACCCTCAGCCACCTCTTGTCTGAGCTAGGGAGTCTTAATCTTTTCAGCTATTTTACAACCCTGATCACCTTTGCTTCCTTTCTCCATCCCCTTTTTAGTTTTAAAGGATCTTTTCTGAGATGGGGTGACCAGAACTGTATGCAGTATAAGCCAGAGAGTGTCCCAGAACTTAAGTGGCATCTCTTCACACACCAACCCTGAGTACATTCACTACTGACCCCCAATCTGCCCTTGTCATCCTCAGGACAATCTTATTTTGATGGGACCAGCTCAAGTCCCATAATTCTAAAAATACCCTTAAAGCTAATGCATTACCAGGCTGCAAGCTAGAGATGCAGTGGTTTATTTCTGGAATACAAGGTCTGGCCTGCTACATCCCCATTAGCTCTGACCAGTATGTGGTCTGTGATGTTGGAGGCAGAACTGCACTGAAGGGAAACGGTGGGAGTCCCATCACCTGGAGCACTTGAAACTCAGCAAAGCAAGGCCCGGAAGGAGAGGCTGTGTGGTGTGACTGCACTGGCTTCTGAAGCAGACAGGCCAAGTGACCCATAAGGTCATTTTTGAATCTTTAATTCTTGCAGTTTGATGAGTCACTGTTCAGTTTCATTTTAATGGGCTTCAGTTAATGTTGAACAGAAAGCTCTAAAATAAGGCCTGTCACCTTTATATTACTCCTTACACTGCTAAGCAAGAACTTTGCTGACACAGGAAAATGCTGCTGGACAGTTCAGAAATGAAGGCCAGTTTTAGCTACAGGTAGTAATCTATAGCTCTTTTAAAAAAACAAAAAAACCTACAAGGGTTTGGTAACCAGCAGCCCCAAGATCACAGTCAGAGCCACCTCGGCAATCCTAAAGTTTGCACTTTTTTTCAGCTTTGAGCTGAACACTGCAATGCCAACTAAGGAAATTGGCTACCCAGGTGCCCTTGCACAGACAAGTGCAAGGTGATGCACCTGGGGAGGAACAACCAGCACCATACCTACAGGTTGGGGAACTCCCCTCTTGTCAGCACAGAGGCAGAAAAGGATCTTGGAGTCATCATTGTTTGCAGGAATGTTTAATAAAAAATGAGACCAGAAAAAAGGGATCCAAAAAGATATGTGATGGACAGCCTATGTTAGAGACAATCCAGAGTGGCCCTGAAATTCCATTTGGTGACACAATTCAGCAAAGAACTCTTATTTAGATTCTGTTAAGGGACACTGACACCCTAAAACTCAAGTAGGCAGCCGTATCCTCAGCCAGTGTAAATCACCACAGCTTCACTGGCTTCAATGGCCAAGAGCCAATTTACCTCACCTAAAATAATCATTCCCTAAAGCTCCATAAGAATCATAAAATAGTAGAGAGTAGAGGAATTGAATTGAATTCAGTTTCCCCTCCACAAAGAACTGGAATATGAAAACAGGCTCATCTGTGCCAGTTTCTAGAGCATTTCACTTCCTGGCTCAGCACTGTTGAGTCAGGATTTCCTGGACATCAGTGGGAATGTTTGAAGCACACAGAAACACAGGTACCATGTAAAACAAAAATAGTCATAAACTGCCACTGCTCCTTCTCAACTGTGTGAAAACATTTACTCCCCACCCCATCTCAATTTCTCTTATTTAAATGTCAATCCTAAGCCCAGCATCCCTTTAAAAATGTAATCACCAGGTTCCAGCTACTATTGAATGATTTTCTCCTGTTATGTCTGGAGGCATAAATCCTTTCAAATTTATGTCACTCAAATGAAATGGAACCAGCGATCTTCATGACCATATGCACAAACTTCCCAGGACTGCAGGATTATTGCATTGGGGGTTGTTATCAGGACATTGATACATTGCTTTCTACTTTTCTAAATAATGCTTTGAGTTTATTTAATGACTAAAACATTAGCAGAGACATACTGAATAGCAATTTGATTTGTCCCTTTTTGGAACTCGTTTAGAGTATTGTCCTGAAATAGGGATGGATGTATGGCAAGCAGTGTATTCTCTCTGCAGATTTATTGGGTAGAGTCCTGATTTTTAGAGTCTTTGCTCTGATACTATGGAACCTACAAATAAATGCAGTGAAGTTGGGAATTTTCCATGTAGCTTCTCTCATTCAGATTTTTCCCAAGTATAAAAGACTGTATCAATCAATACTTAAATGTAATCTCTTACCTACTTGCAAAGTCTGCATAATTCTTAAAGGGCCAGACATGTAAATCCAAAAAGAATCCCCACAAAACAGCATGCACAAGTGACCCTACAATAATAAGTCAATATGTGCAAACCCAGCACCCACAAGAGACCCTTCAAAACTAAGGCAGGACATGCAGCATGCATGAGCAACCCTACTACAACATTACAGCATGTACGTAACAGATGTTTGCTAGTATCCCTACTACAACAAACCAGAGCCTAGGAAAAGGGAGGAAAAATAATATACAGCAAGAAGATAGATTGTTTTAACTTCAAGCTTCCCAAGAGAATTAATCTAAAAATGGAGAAGAAAGAATCATTGTAAAATTACTTTCTTAAATATCTAATAGAACAACAAGCAAATAGAAATCCAAGCCAGAGATTCACAGCTACACACTAGACCAGGGGTAGGCAAAATGCAGCCCGCCAGGCCATTCTATCCAGCCTGCAGGACCCCTAAAAAATTTTAAAATTAATATGCAACTGCCCTGGGCTGCCTGTCACGCGGCCCTCAATGGCTTGCTAAAACTCAGTAAGTGGCCCTCTGCCCAAAATAATTGCCCACCCCTGCACTAGACTCTGCCAATAACACTATGTGAAAAGAGAGAAAATGCTTTAGGTCTCTGGGCCCTGGCTCCTTCATAGATGATTCTCTTCTTGTCCTAATTCCTACTTCTTCATCTTCCTTGTTCTTCCACCCTCCTTGAGTCTATTCAGTCTCTGTTATGTATGTGGTCCTCAGCTTAAGTGAAAAATACCATAACTCGCCTAGTAATCTTTGTGCAGCTCACTGCACACAAAGACCAGTGTAAGCAGAGAGATGGTACAACTAGTGTACAATTAGTCAATAAGGCGTAAGTTTTCCATGCAATTTTTACAGCCCTGATTGTAAGGAAACCTGCAGGCCAAGCCAGTCTGATCCCACAAGGGGCACTAACCTTCTCCTTGCACTTTAGCTACAGCAACTCACTGCTTCTCAGCCTCCCTAGGTCCTTGCTCCCCTCTAGGCTCTTGCCTATGCAGGAGGCCACAGGCACACTGGAAAACACAACCTCTTCAGCCCCACTCAGATAAGTCCATCACTCCGCACAGGTATCAGAATACAATCACCATGTGTCCTCTAGGAGTCCCAAAGTTAACCAGAGTTTGACCAGCATAAAGACTTCAGGATTTGGCCCCTGGTTTCTGAAACCCTTTATGACGCATGTTCCTAAACAGAGTTGTGATTTCAAGTGGAGTCTTGGCAGCTCTATGGAGCCCTAATTTCCCTGAATCCACAATTACCCCATGTGCCCTCAATTAACTGGGAGCTGCGTTTTATCATGCCACCATCATAGCTTTCCTGCACCCTAAATACTCTGAGGTAAATAAAAGCTAAATTTAGCCCTGTTTTGTCCAGAGGTAAGCTGTGCCTCAATTAAGTCTTTACAGGAAAGTACTTGAGGGCACAAGAGCAGCTGTCACAGACCACATGAGCTGTGGTAATGCCCAGCCCCTACTAACTGTTAGCACATAACTGGTTACCATTGGTCTGTAAGTTCTGCCCCCTATTATTTAAGGGCACTAGACTTTCTCCCTCCGCCTTCCTTCTTTCTCTCCTCTCTGCTCATCCAGCACTAGGTTCCAGTCTCTCCATCCAAGCAATCTCTCCTTTGCTGCAGCCCTCATTGATTTTTTGTTTTATTTTTGCAAACCTCTAACCACATCATTTATCTCTGTAGAGCATTTCAGGGGAACAAACCCAAGTCAGTATCCCAGACCCACCTGGGTATCAGTGTTGATATGCCTGCAAATACCACAAGCGAATTTGGCCCACCTACTTTGCATGGGAAGTTCTCTGCAAGTCAAAGGTGCATTGCCTTGTTTTACCTCCATCAGCAAAATATCCTTGGAGCTTTGAGCCTGAACCTTCGGGTGCTGGACTTTCACTGCTACTGTCCTCCCATCCTGCAGCACTGCCTTGTGGACCTGGGCCAGGGATGCTGCTCCCAATGGAGTGTCCTCAAAACTCACAAACAGCTCTTTAATCTGCCAGGAGAAAAGAAAAAGCAGTTGCAAGGTTCACTAAGACAGTATCACCAGGAAACCTCCCAGAGACTGAAGTCCTCTGTCCAGAGAACAGGAACAGCAGGGCAAAGACTGTGCAAGCTTCTCCCTTCCAGTGCACCCCTGGGCTCACACCTGACCTGGGGGGACTCCACCAAAGCCTATTTAGTCCTTGACCTCTTTGAGGAGACTGCCAAGAAGGCCAGGGATGGGGACAATTATGGGATGGACATCTGTGCCACTAGGACTTGAACTGGCAAGTGTCTGTCCATTTCACACAAGACACAGAACAGCCAAAAGGTAGTAATGGCTTTTGGCACTAGCGATCCCACTGCCAGAGCTTCTGCTGTACCAAGCACAGGGGCATGAGTTACATTGGGCACAGAAGCTGATTTTCTTTCTCTTTACATATAATTCTATATTTTTATTTAATATTACATATCATATCATCACATCCTGAATACCTGACAGCGCATATTCCTCTGGTGCTTACATTACAGGAGCAATATCATCCAGCTAACATGGTTAAAGCTGGCTATGTCAGCATGTGTTATGAATTTGTGGCTGAGGACTAGATCAGCCAGTGGGTTATTGAACTACTGTTTGCATCTCTATAGACCTGCGTTTCAAAATCTTTTTAGTGTAATGGGCGATTCCTTGGAGGGCATTTGCTCACTCACAAAATTAAGATGATTGACAGTCTCAACTCAGGAAAGGCCCACAACTGGGGATGGCAGAGCATTTTGTGAGACAGAATGGGGGGAGGGAGCAGGGGAGGATTAGCAGCACTGTGTCTGAGGCCTAGGACAGCAGAATGGGATGTAAGTTAGGAATGAGTGTTGTGGGGGTGGAGGCAGGGTGATGGGAAACCCAAGTGGGCGACAAGACACTGTCTTCGTTCAGGAGTTAAAGACACAAGCAGAACTGGGAAAGAAGCATTTGCCCAGCCCTCCCCTCCAGCATGCTCAGCTCTAGCTAACACGAACAGTTGAAGAGCATGTAATTTATGCAAAAGAAAAAGAGTGCCAGTGCATTTTTATAACCTGCTTTTTAAAAGGTAATTAAAGAGGGGAGCTGCAGCAAGCTAGTAATTAAATATGAATAAAGCCCTTCCAAATGGAGTCTTCATGCAAAGTGTTAAACGGGTGTTCTTTATGCTGATGGCAAGAGGGAGAAGAACACTATCCCGGAAGCAGCCTGTTCCTTGACGCAGCTGCTGAGAAACGCACTCCCCACTCTTTTCTTTCATGACCCCTTCCCCTTCCCCCACCACCTCTTCTACACAACCATTACTAGAAACAAACTGGAGCATTTGCAGCAATTAGATTGAAACGGAGCCTCTGCTGCCTCCAGTGATTCACTAGGAAGGCACCTTTTATTTATTTATTTTATTCCATTTGGTCCTGGCGGCAAAATCAATTAAGTAAAACAACTGCATTTAAAAACAACTAGTTATGTGTTTTTTAATTACAGTGGGCCCATGATTCAAACCTATCGACATTCTTGTCTGGAGAAAGAAAAAATCAAGTTTATTTTTCCTTCTTCCTTTCTTCCAATTTACTAGGTTTTCAGATTCTGGCTTCAGATTATTTTAAAGAAACAAAGACCTGTGAGGGCCATCGGGTTTCTCAGGGGAAGATGTAGTTGTGAGAGGAGGCCTTTTACTTGTACATGGAGCATATCTGTCAGATGAAGAGTGAACCGGCTGAGGAGAAAAGTATCAAGATGGCCACAAACACCCTGGTCTGGGAAGTGCCTGAAGCAAGATGGACAAAATGCAAACACAGAATTTGACCTGTGCTTGATCTGACTGACTACAGGGTCATCTAGTCCAGTACTGTGCTTCCTGCTATTACATAGCATCTCAGTGGGACACATAGTCCAGTACCCCACTTCCAGGCATACCAGACAAGCTCTTTGCTCCATCTGACGAAGAAGCCTAATCCAGTGGTTATAGCACAGGACAAGGAGTCGAGTGTTGAGGTATATTCACAGCTGTATGGTATGGGATAGGTTGGTAGTGGCTCCACACAGATTTTGGCAGCCCTGTGATTCTGCAGAAGGGGTAGAAAATTATTTGGGCTAGAGGGCCACTTAAGGAGCTCTGGTGAGCTGCTGAAGGCTGGGGAAAGAGGAGAGGTGCTGACCTGGTCTTGCCCCCGTCATAGCTGTTTACACAGCCCAGCACAGCAAGGGGTGGCAGGGGGTGGGCCAGGGAGATGCCAATTGATCATATCCAGCCCTGTCCACCCCACAACCACCACCAGAGGTGCCAGATGGTGTGGGCAGGTAGGGTCTCCATGGAAACCACCCTGGGACCCCCACAGACAGGGTGCATGCAGGCGGGAGATGGGATGGGGCTGCAGGCAGGTGGGGAGCAGTATCCGGGAATGGGGCCAGGACCAGGACCTGAGTCAGGGCCAGAGTCACAACCCACTCCCCACACATCCCTATGGCAGTGGGTGTGGGGCAGACGGGCTGGGGTGCCCGTGCAGCAGGGCTGGGTTTGGTGGCAGAAATACTAACAGTGGCAGCCAGACTGTGAGGGCAACCCACCAATGTGGGGGCTGCCAGGAAACTGCACCCAGCCACCGTGCCACACCCACCCCATCCCTGCACCACCTATCCCTGCAGACTACAGCTCTCCTTATGCCCGAGAGCCATATGCAGAAACAGGGCAGGCTGTGCTCTGCGCCAGGTGGCACCTCCATGCTCAGGGGCAGCAGGACCAGCTACATGAGCCACTGCCCAGGCTGCCCCCCACACATTGGCCAGAGAGGGCCAAGGGACCCACCACAGGCTAGACAGGATCACTTGGTGGGCTGGTTTCAGCCCACAGACCATATTTTGCCCGCCTCTGTTCTAGAGGCTTTTGGTCTCCTGGCAGTCAGGCCAGTATCTGTCACTAGCAAAAACACGCTCTGAAAATTGAAGTGCCAGATCAGGTTTCCTGGTAAAATGGTTGAAGGAAAACTATCCTGAAACAGAAGAGTCTCACTTAGAAAACAGGCTCAGTATCTACCTGAATGGCTAGAATCACCCCAAACCAAGAGTCCAAGCTAGCAGCAATGGCCAGCTGAGCTTGTGTAGGTGCCCAACCAAGAAAACACCCACACATGCCCCACAGTAAGGCAACATATTCAAGAGGTCAGGTGTAACAAAAGAAATGATGGCCACTCTAGGAGGGATGGCAAGAGGACAAGAGGAGAAGGAGACAATAGGGTCATTCCATGAGCAGTGTAAGAACTAGATAAGGTGGTAGCACAATTAGCGCAAGGCCAAAGAACCCCTGCTCAGCAAAAAGCCCCTATTCATGGTGAGAATGCCCTTTGCCAACAGGCCCCAGGCCATTGCTTTAAGAGAAGGCAGCTAGCCACCCTCATCCCTGCTGCAGATCGTGCAGCAGCAGATCAGCTGCTGCATGTCCCCAAGGACTCCAGGCAAGGGGGAATGTGTGACCAAATGACAGCTTCTCTCTGTCATCCTGGTGCCCCTGCCCTCAATGAAAGTCTCAAGCTCCACATCAGTTTGGAGACAAAGGGATACATGCTACCAGCACTGCCAAGCAAGAAACAGGAGGCCAAGACCTCCTTCCTTGCTCCCTCAGATAGAGGGGCCCAGGCTCCCATCTCATGCAAGCAATGGCACATGGCTGTAGCTGTGGAGGTAGAATGCTCACTCAACATTACCCTTTGAAGAGGGTAGGAGAGGGTGCCACAGCCATGCATCCAGCCAGCTATCTAGCAGCCATAACAAGAGTCTGGCTCAGTGTTTTCAGGATGCAAGAAGAGAGATGGAAGGTCCTCGGGCAGTCTCTTCCCCTGCACAACACAACTCATAAGGTATTTTAAGGGTCCCTAGGGTTATCTCAGACCATATCACATCTCATGAGGCCATGCCAAACCAGCAGATGCCATTTGTGATGTCAGCAGTATTTGTGGGAGCTCCATGGGCAGAAACAATAGAACAGTTTCCAAGAAGGTTTAGCGGTCAGAAGAAAAACCTTATGGCCACATCATCAAACAAGACAGGTCCCCAATTACATGCCTTGCTACTACAGCTGCCCAGATAAATGGGATTCATGCACATGTTGGAGCCTCTAATTAGCCCTCTGCTTATTCAGTTACCCATCAGGAGCACAATCTCCCAACAACTGCACATGCCATTACACTTCCTTGGATAAAAAAGCAATGCTGAACGTTTGATCCTTAAGAATGAGGCTCATTTACTTTAAAACATGCAAGATCTTTTCATGATGGTTGCATTAGTATTCCAGCCATAGGGAGGCGGGCTTAAAGGCTCTTCCAGAATTTAGCTATCTGGTTGCTTACTATGTATTATTTGTAGTGAGGAGATACCCAGGTAAGATTGGACCCTCAGTGTGCTGGGTGCTGTACAAGCACATAGTAAAAGACAATCCTTTTCCCAGAGAACTTTCAGACTACATAGACAAAGAGATGGGCAAGAACTATCAGCACTGCAGTTTTACAGGTGGGAAACGGAAGCACAAAGAAATTGGAGGGAAATTTTTACAAGTGCCTTAGCAATTTATCAGTTTAAATCTAACTTCCAGAAATGACTTGCTCAGGAGCCTGAGTCTCATTGAAAGTCAACAGGACCAAGGCTCCTAAGTCACCTAGGCCCTTTTGCAAAGGTCATGTTACAAGATCACACAGGGTCACACAGGGAGACTGTAGCAGAGCCAGGAATTAAACCCAGATCTCCTGACTCCACATCCATAGAATCATAGAAGAATCATAGAAAATTAGGGTTGGAAGAGACCGCCACCCCGCTACTCAAAGCAGGACCAACCCTGACTAGATCATTCCAACCAAGGCTTTGTCGGGCCAGGTCTTAAAAACCTCCAAGGACAGAGACTCCACAACCTCTCTGGGTAACCTGTTCCAGTGCTTTAGCACCCTCCCAGTGGGTACATTTTTCCTAATATCTAACTTAAACTCCCCTTGCTGCAACTTGAGACCACTGCTCCTTGTTGTTACCTGCCAGCACTAAGGACAGTCCAGCTCCATCCTCTTTGGAACCACCCTTCAGGTAGTTGAAGGCTGCTACTAAATCCCCTCTCAGTCTTCTCTTCTCCAGATTAAATGAGTCCAGTTCCCTCAGACATTCCTCAGAAGTCATATAGGCCCCTAACCATTTTCATTGCCCTCCACTAGACTCTCCAATTTGTCCACATCCTTCCTGTAGTGGGGGGCCCAAAACTGGACATAGTACTTCAGATGTGGCCTCATCAGTGCCGAATAGAGAGGAAGAATCACTTCCCTCAATCTGCTGGCAATGCTCCTATTAATGCAGCTCAGTATGCCATTCACCTTCTTTGCAACAAGGGCACACTGTTGGCTCATACTTAGCTTACTATCCACTGTAACCCCCAGATCCTTTTGTGCAGAGCTGCTACTTAGCCAATTAGCCCCCCAGACTGTACTGGTGCATGTTCCATCCTAAACCCGGGCCTTTGCACTTCTCCTTATTGAACTTCATGAGATTTATTTTGGTTCAATCCTCCAACTTCTCTAGGTCTTTCTAAATCTTAGGCCTACGCTCCAGTGTATCTACTACTCCCCCCAGCTTGGTGTCATCTGCAGACTTGCTGAGGGTGCACTCTATCCCACCTTCCAGGTCACTGATGAAAGTATTGAACAAAACTGGCCCCAAGACATGACCTTAGGAGCACTCCACTTGATATCAGGTGCCAACTAGACCTTGACCCATTGACTACTACCCTCTGAGACCGATTAGCCAGCCAGTTTTCTATCCAATTTACAGTCCATTCATCCCACCTGTCCTTCCTTAGCTTGTTTGGGAGAATGCTGTGGGAGACTGTATCAAAACCCATGCTAAAAATCAAGGTACATCACATCCACCAGTTTCCCAGCATCCACAGAGCCAGTCATCTAATCATAGAAAGCAATCAGGCTGGTCAAGGCATGACTTGCCCTTGGTGAACCCATGCTGACTGTTCCTAATCACCTTCTTCTTCTCCAAGACCTTAGAAATAGATTCCTTGAGGACCTGGTCCATGATTTTTCTAAGGACTGAGGTGAGGTTGACTGGTCTATAGTTCCCCAGATCCTCCTTTCCTTTCTTAAAGATGGGCACTATTTTGACCTTTCCCAATCATCCAAAACCTCTCCTGATTGCCATGGGTTTTCAAAGATGATGGCCAACAGCTCTGCAATGACATCTGCCAACTCCCTCAGCACCCTCAGGTACATCCCATCTGGCACCATGGATTTGTATACATCCAGCTTTTCTAAATAGTCCCTAAATTTTTCTTTCACCACTGTTGGCTGCTCACCTCCCCCATTTAGTAAAGGACCCACATTTTCCCTTGGTGGGTTCCTCCTCTTGTTGCTGACATAGTTGTAGAAACCATTCTTGTTACTCTTCACATCCCTTGCTAGCTGCAACTCCAGTTGTGTTTTGGCCTTCCTGATTTCCTCCCACATGCCCAACAAATACTCTTATACCCCTCCCTAGTTGTTTGTCCAAGACTCCACTTCTTATAAGCTTCCTTTTTCTGTTTCATCTTACTGAAGAGTTCCCTGCTAAGTGAACCTGGTCTTCTGCCATACTTGTTAGTCTTCCAGCACATCAGGATGGTTTGTTCCCGTGCCCTCCGTAAGGTTTCTTTAAAGTACAGCCAGCTCTGCTGGATTCCTCTCCCCTTCAGACTGGCCCCCCAGAGGTGCCTGCCTATGAGTTCCCTGAGTGAGTCCAGGTCTACTTTTTTGAAGTCCATGGCCCTTACTCTGCTACTCTCCTTCCTTCCTTTAAAGATCCTGAACTCAATCATCTCTCATGGTTGCTGGTGCCCAAGGTACCATCCATAACTACATTTCCCACCAATTCTTTCCTATTTGTGAGAAGCATATCAAAAAGAGTATGGTCCCTAGTTGACCTCTCCAATACTTGCACCATGGAATTGTCCCCAATACTCTCCAAAAACTTCCTGGATTGCCTGTGCACTGCTGTATTACTCTCCCAACAACGAGAGTCTTACCCATGAAGTCATACAAATTACAAGGTGCACATCCTATTAGATATGTTTTCTACATAAATTGCCTTTTAATGCCCATTTGCAGTGTCCAGAAGCACCCAGCAGTCTGTGCTGGTGCTGCCCATTCCAGAAAAATATGTTCCCTTTCCCTTTTCCAAAAGGCACAATAAATAAATCTCCAAGTAGGCATTTCTGTAACTGAGCCCTGTAACAGCAATAGTCTCGTCTATCCCAAAAAAACTGTCTTCTCCCAAGGACTAGAGGGGTGTGAGGAGGTTCTGTGAGGTGAGAAGAGAATTTCCCCTGCAATAATGCAGTGCTAACACTGCCTATCAGAAGTATACATCTGTCAGCATTGTTGCATTGAATGTGCTGCAGTCAGAACATAGTCAGTATGAGGAGTAAACAACACTTTCCATTTATGGGCCCATCAAGGTTTTCACTCATGTGAAAACAGAAGCCAGGTAGACGGTGCAGCGTGGCCCAAAAGGGTCTTGTAAATTTGGTTTTCCAAATACGTCTCCCTCACCACCTCCCCATCTTTGTCACATGGCTCAACTCAGCTAGTCCAACTCAAAATGAGCCCCTGAAAACAAGAAGTATTCCAAAGCTTGCAGAGTTTCCTGGTGCAGATGGGCCCTGCACCCTCCATCATCCAGGGTTTTCATCAAACCATGTCCCTGATATCATTCATTAACTAGTTTCATGCCACTATGTGAAGTGAGGATAGGATATGAAGGGATGGCTTCACCCACCACTAGTCTAGGACTAAATGGGACTAAATTCTGGAATTCATCAAATGCAGTTTTCACAGTTTCTCATGTGACAGACAAAGAAATAACATTGTATGCAGGACATTGCTTTACTCTTATAGGATCTAGGGCAGGTGAAAATCAGGACGTATTTCCTATGCCTGAAGAGCAATGGGAAATGTAGGAGTTCAATATACCAGTTACC